CGGGCTCAATCCCAGGATCCTGGGATCATGACCTGAGCCGAAGGCAGACGCTTAACGACTGAGCCACCCAGGCGCCCCTGTTTTTATATTATTTTTTAACTCCAGTGTAGTTAACATACAGCGTTATATTAGTTTCAGGTGTACAATATGGTGATTCAATGCTGCCACACATCACCCAATATCCTTAGTTCAAGGCTAAGGAGTAGCTGAGGTGCTGTGTGTAATAAACATATCACAGTAGAATTGTAAAATTAAAACTTTTGAAAATCTCAGTGACGTTTATTTAGTTTCCAGCTATCATTTTGTTGCTAATTTTTAAAAAAGATTTTATTTATTTATTGGACAGGGAGAGAGAGAGAGAGCACAAGCAGGGGGAGCGGCAGGCAGAGGGAGAGGGAGAAGCAGGCTCCCAGCTGAGCAGGGAGCCCGACGCGGGGCTCGATCCCAGGACCCTGGGACCACGACCTGAGCCAAAGGCAGACACTTAACCAACTGAGCCACCCAGGTGCCCCGCTAATTTTGGTTTTTAAATTCAGTCCCTGTGTTCTTTGTTTCATGAGCTGCAATGTTTTTAAATGCTTACAGGAGATTTTCTTAGCATTTTATGTGGAAGTTGGGTTTCTACATGTAGAACTGAATATGAAAGTCTTTCTTGGGCAAAGCGATGTTCCTGATGCCATAGTGGTCGTGTATTTTTATTAGGTTACCACTTAGTCAATTCATGTGTAATGATGAGGGTGAGGTTGGGTGTGGGCCATTTCCCTTTTTTAAAGATTTATTTGTTGATTTATCTATTTATTTTAGGTGGGGGGAGGGGCAGAGGGCGAGGGAGAGAAGGAAACCCAAGCAGACTCTGCGATGAGTGCAATGCGGGGCTTGATCTCGTGACCCTGAGACCATGACCTGAGCCCAAACCAAGAGTCGGATGCTTAACCGACTGCACCAGCCAGGTGCCCCAGAGGACCCTTTCCTTCTGTTGGTGGAAAAGAGCAAACAACATCGGGTTGTAGAGGAGTGTGTGCTGGTACAACGCTGGGAGGTTTTGTGGAGGACAAAGAAAAGAGTAAGACACGGTCCCTTGGTTTTGGCAATCTTATGAGGGAAGAGTTGATAAATATTGTATTATTTAACATTTAAATCGGAAGGAGAGAAAGAATCAAAGAACGTTGGTCCATCAGTAGAAAATTCCTCACAATTGGCAGCCCTGTGGGTGCCTCAAATTCAGTGCATCTGAAACTATGCTTAGGATGCTCTTCCCTCAGGGACCAGCCCTCCTCTGGCCCGCCCAGTCTCCAAGACCCGGCGAAACACATCCCCGCTTTCCCACCTTCCAAACCTGGGCTCAGCCTGGATCTTCCCTCTCCCCCGCTAACTAATCCCCACAGCCTGCTCATTTTCTTCCGAAATACTTCTCAAGTCGCTACTCTTTTGTCTTGCTTCTAGAGTGATCTAAAGCTCCCATTACTGTATCAAAATCATCTCTGTCTCTGTGGGTCTTCCCTGATAGAATTCAACCGATCCTGGAGAGGCAATTGTCTTCCTTGCCTTTGCTTCTGAAACAGTGGCGCCTAATAGGTGCTCAATAAATGTTTGCTGACCTGAACTGAGAAACTTAGGAAATCAAATTTGAAGGCTTTGGGACTGAGGATGAGGATGATTCTCAGTAAAAACAAATCAAATGAAACCAGCCCCACCAAATCTTTTTCAGGAAAAATGTAAATAGTTTAGAAATCCCTAGACTATATGAATTCACACACATTTTGCCCTGTCCTTGTCTGTCTCCGCCACCTTAGCATCTCCTCTTTAACTTTCCATTTTAACAGGGGCTATCCTGGCACTGTGGAGAAATATCTTTTGTTGTTTCTTTTTTTTTTAAGATTTTATTTATTTATTTGAGAGAGAGAGAGAGAGAGAATGAGCGGGGGGAGGGGCAGGAGGAGAGGGACAAGCAGACTCCTGGCTGAGTGGGGAGCCATACACTGGGCTTGATCTCAAGACCCTGAGATCATGACCTGAGCCGAAATCAGACGCTTAACCAACTGAGCCACCCAGGCGCCCCCTTTTTTTGGTTTCTGAAACAAGAAAATTTAGGATCCTGATTATCACAAGCATATATACTCAGTTGTTAAGGCAAATGGTTTGACATCAAGCCTTCATTGTCCTCCATTTCAATCCTGTCAGAGGCTCTCCACCCGAATGCCTTGGTTCCCTGATGTTCATTCCAATCTATTGCTAATACTCAAAGATGGCTCCCACATCCTTGGAAGGCAGCAAGGGTCGTTGGAGACACCATGTTGATGGCTATTTTCTTTGTGACTTTGGCTTGATCTCGATCTCTTTTTTTTTTTTTGCAAGCACAGATTTGAGGACCTGGTTTCTCCAGCATTTTTGGTTCCTGCCATGTTTGTTCATGATTGGGAGCAGGAGTCAGATCCTTATTAATGGGAAGTGAAAATAATTGTTGTTGCAAATGCTTAAATGCTTACTGGGCACCAGGCAATGTTCTAAGTGTTTAACACGTAACAACTCACTTGATCCACCCAATAACCTCATGAGGTAGATTCTTTTATGGTTCTCATTTAAGGAAACTGAGGCACAGAAAGTTAGTATTCCAACCAAGATCTCTGACCAGATAGAAGAGAGGGTGCTGGGACTTGAACCCAAGCAAGCTAATGATTCCAGAAGCCATGTTCTTAACCACCAAGTAGGGCAACCCCTCAATGATTAGGAGGCTCCTAAGAGGCTCTGGAATAGCCATGAATACATTTGAAAGCTTTCTCCCATTTTGCCCCACTTGCAATATTACTTATAGGTAAGACTTGATAGGCTACTGGGATCTAAAGAATGTAATTAAGTGTAATGATGTAGCGCTCCCTCGCTCATTCACCGGCCTGGGAAATTCCTCCCTGCAGATGCACAGGAGTACACGCTTGGAAACGGTGAGAGAAGCATGACAAATCCCCTGGGTCCCTTTGCTCACCCTTAGGTCAACGGAGTGACGGTTCATGGGGCCACGCCCCTGTTCAATGCGTGCCGGAGCGGCAGTGCAGCGTGTGTCGACGTGCTGCTGGAGTTTGGAGCCAAGGCCCAGCCGGAGGCGCACTTGGCTTCACCCATCCACGAGGCAGTCAAGAGAGGTAACGGGGCCGTCCCATTGCACACGCCGCATTGGTGGGCTCGCTCCGATCTGCACGAGTCAGTGGTACAGGGGTCACCGTGCAAGGAACACCCAGACCTTCACCGGTAGTCTGTGTGTTGCTTAGAATCCCAGAGCTGCAACTTCAGAGCCCCTGAATCTTCAGGAAATACCGGTGGGGCATGCAACCGCCCTTCTTGGGCCCTGGGAACAGTTTTCTGTCTCAGGAGTCGCATTTCCTAGGGAGTCAGTCTCTCGGCAGCCCTTTCTCGAAGCTCTTTGCTGGTGTTTTGGGGGCAGCTGGCCCGGTCAAGCCTGCGGGGGTGACTTCCATGAGTCGTACTTTTTGCTTATGTCTCTGTCTTTACTAGAAAAGAACAGCTCTTCTCCCAAAGCCCATAAAACATCAGCCACTAAAATAAATGATGAAAGCGTCTGAAAGCCAAGGCTGATAGGAGCCCTAATGGAAGATTAAATATAACTGTCCACGGCAAGCGATATACTCTTTTGAGATGAGCTGCTGACTTCAAGGTCCTTAGTTATTGCAAAGAAATTGCAACTTTCAAAAGCATGGCATTAGACACCTGAAAGTTGATTCTAGACTCCTGTATTCTCAGTTACTTTTGAAATGAGCGAAGAGAGTAAAGTGAAGGTCTTTAAAAACTTTATGCATCCGCTAGACATGAACAAGAAGAGATCACTGAAAGGCCAAGGCCATTTGTCAAAAGTCACACCGAGAGAGCAACATTTCTGTTACTCAGTGGTGGAATTATTCTATTATATTGAGATAAATAAAATGGGGAAGTTAGAACACTGTAGAACAGTGATCTTTGCTGGTCTAATTGGGGATGAAAGTCTTTATTTCCAAAGGCAATAATGAAAGATTTGCCCCGGGTTAATAAACATTGTCACTTGGTAATTTTTTTTTTTTTTTTTTGCAGCAGACTATTTTTTTTCCTGTGCTTTTATTTTTTTTCCCCATGTTTTAACAGTTGAAGTATAATTAACGCACAGTACTATATTACTTTCAGGTGTACAAAACAGTGATTCAACACTTCCATACATCACCCAGTGTACTCTTCATCCCCATCGCCTGTTTCACCTAGCCCCCCACTCCCCTCCCCTCTGGCAACTGGCAGTTTGTTCCCTGTATTTGAGTCTGTTTTTTTTTTGTTTTTTGTTTTTTGTTTTTTCTGTTTGTGGATTACTTTAAATGAAACAAAAGACCCAAATCTCAATGTATCTATGGTTTTGATGTCTTACATGTATTTAATAAACATTTATTGATTAATAACTGATGCTGGTCATTTTCCAAACTCCAAGTACATCCTTTAAGTTGAAGGGAAATGGTCTACTTTGGAAATGATCTAAAAGTCTTAAAAAACTTTTTTTAAGGTTGATTTGAAGTAAAAGTTCATCCGTTTGTTGCATTTCCATCCGAACATTTAAAAATAGATAAATATTGGGAATGGTTTGAATTACTGAAGTAATTCTGCAGTACTTGGATGGTTTTATGTTGGAGTGTTTGCTATCTACGTGCCTACAAAATATATACATGCTTATCATAAACACATCAATTCATGTGTCTATGTATTCTTTTCTGTATCTACAAGCATGTTAGGGACCATCATCCACAGGATGGAAGAACAAATAACAAATTCATTATTTTAGATGCTGTTATATTAGTGCTAATCATTTATATATTAATTTTGTAATTAATGAGTGTTGTGAGTACTTAAATTTAACTCAGACCAGGCTCAGTTTCTTCTGCAAAGAAAAAGAAAGAAAAAAAATTAAAAGGACAGGAATTATTTAAAAATGTTTATTAGATGCCCTGTATTTACCAGGCAGTTTTAGGTACTGACTAGATATTTTTTCTGGATTTTTTAAACATCTGCCAACAGAGTAGGTCAGTCTGAGTCCATGCTTTGACATATTGATGCTATAATCCCAGTATAATATTTACTTATGTGAACAAATAGTTTGGATCCATAGGATCCTCATTTGTACATTTTAATGCATATTTTTATTTAATTTAGCATTTGTGATAAATCAACCAGGTTTGAGAAGAAGCTTGCTTTTATGTTATAAAAAAAAGATCAGTGAAGTGATGGTAAGATTTTTTTTAAGAAAACACTTAAATCTTCAAAGAGAACACTCTATAAGCTCCCATCAATTCCTCAGAAGTATTTGGTCCTGATCAAATCATTCGTATGCTGCAAATTAATCAAGTCTATTCATTGGGCAGCCTCTCCAAGGACAATGCTTGTCTACATACTTCTTGTTAGCCACTGAATTTGAAAGTGCAGTTAAATATATCCTATATTTGAGGATTTGAAAGTGCAGTTCAATATATTCTATATTCAAGGCTTTTTATTCTCAGAGGTGTCTTCCAGGTTAACCAAAATAAGGAGGTGCAACCATACATGGGTGAAGAAGAGAATGAGAGATTTGTAATGGAGAGGGATCAGGGCTGGGCCTTGCATTTGAGTGCTGGCTTTTTCAGGGTAATAATAGGATGAGTCGTTCACCCCTCTGCATCCTGCAGCCTCTATTTATAAACTGGTGGCTTCACTGTAGAGAGTGATTTCAGCTGTGCTCCTTGGAGCCCTTAGTCTAGTTGGAGGTACCTCAAGGGCTGCAAAGGGGAATTTAAGTGGGGAAGTATGGGCATGCTTTTCTTTTTAATGGTTTTGATTTTGGAGTTTTCTAGGATTTCTCCCTCCACCAATTTTTTTCTGCTTAAAAAAAAATCTAGGTTATTTCTAAAGCCCATTACAGATAAGCAATTCTATAGTTCTATAAATAGTCAATATTTCCCTTACTTGAGTAAGGTTACCTTTTTTTCCCCACCAGGTCATAGAGAGTGCATGGAGATCCTGCTGGCAAATAACGTTAACATTGACCAAGAACTGCCTCAGCTTGGAACTCCCCTGTATGTGGCCTGCACCTACCAGAGGGTAGACTGTGTGAAGAAACTTCTAGAATTAGGTAATTTCCAGAAATCTTTTTATGAGAGGAACCTATTAACTTTGTTGGTTTTCCATGGCTTTAAAGACAAAGTTCTTGGGTGCCCGGGTAGCTCAGATGGTTAAGCGTCTGCCTTCGGCTCAGGTCATGATCCCAGGGTCCTGGGATCGAGTTCTGCGTCAGGCTCCCTGCTCAGTAGGGAGCCTGCTTCTCCCTCTGCCTCTCTCTCTCTCTGTCTCTTATGAATAAATAAATAAAATCTTTTAAAAAAGATAAAGACAAAGTTCTTGTCAGGCTGGACAAAATTCTGACAGTATTTGATGTTTGAATGCTTGAAACAACTTTTCCAGAGAAATGAATGTCTACTTCCTTTGATATTGTCTCCATTTACCTGGTATGGTTCTCCTTGGTGGTTTCAAGAGAGAGCAAGAGTCTCTTTTCCGTAAGTGCTAGTGGGAAAAAAACAATTTTATTTCATTGGCTCTTTTTGAGTCACATGCCCATCTCTGAGCCAATCATAGTGGCCAGAGGAGTACAATGCACTGATTGGCTTAGGCCTAGATTTCAGTCTACACTGAAGTTGTTGGGCTTCACTGGAAACACATGAACTGGGAACCACAGGGGATGGTTCCCCAGAGGGAAGTCTAGGTGTGGTTATCAGGAAGATGCCCAATAGCAAAAATAATAGACATTTGCCATAGACTCTTTTAGATCAGTCCTGCTAAGATCCTTAGTAACCTTTTTATTTTTATTTTTCATTATTTTTTTAAAAAGATTTTAAAGTTTATTTGAGAGGTGAGGGGAGGGGCGGAGGAAGAGAGAGAGAGAGAGAGAATCTCAAGCAGACTCCCCTCTGAGCATGGAGCCCAATGCCGGACTCGATCTCACGACCCTGAGATCATGACCTGAGCCAAAATCAAGAGTCGGATCCTTAACCGACTGAGTCACCCAGGTGCCCCCTTAGTAACCTTTTTAATTCTAAAAGGCATAACAAAAACTGGGAGTCCAGGGAAAAGTAGAATGTCTTGAACTATTATTTGGTAAAAGATTCCCCAACCGTAGCTACTGACATAAAGGTAGAGTCTGTACTATGAATCTTTAAATCAGAATTTTTATCTCTAAGATTTTTTTTGTCTTTTTCATCCCCCATCATTTACTACTCCCTGTAGTAGTTCAGAAACCTTTTTTTTTTTTTTTGAGCCCAGAATAAGAGAAATACTAAAGAAACTTCACTTTCCCCTTTGCCAAAAACCAAAATAATAATTCTGAGTAGAAGGAGCTGCAAATATTTAATTTTGTTCGTCACACAGTTCATACGGGAAAGCAAGTAACATATTTTAAATGACTAAAAATTTCTTTCTTCACTTTTCTCATCAAAATAGTTTGCGGCGGTCTGAGTAGCCATCGCTGAGGTTCTGGGCTTAAGTCGTGTATTTCCAAACATCTGTCAACCACGTCATGACATTGCAGATACCTTTGCAGATATCTCCAGCTACTGTATTTGCAGCTCCTGGTATTTCCACGGTAACGTTTCGCGTTGGCTTGTGGTCATCTGCTTTCTTCAGGAGCCAGTGTGGACCGCGGCCAACGTCTGGACACTCCCCTGCATGCGGCGGCGAGGCAGTCCAGCGTGGAAGTCATCCACCTGCTAGCTGACTACGGGGCTCCCCTAAAGCGCAGGAACGCCGGGGGCAAAAGCGCGCTGGATCTGGCCGCTCCCAACAGCAGCGTGGAGCAGGCACTCCTGCTCCGGGAAGGTAAGGAAGGGCTGGGTGGGCCTTTCTCCTCCATAAGCACGTCGGCTCTCTCTCCTTCCTGTCTTACCTCTGGACTGTCTTACCTTTGGCCTTTTCTCTGTTTAATTGGGCGTGTGGCAGGCCACAGGTGTCACTTGCGTCGCTGCCGAGATTTTATAGGCTGTATCTATTCACTTATCACAGAAGGGCATTTATACGGCTGGTATGTCCCTGTGGATTTTCTGTAACGAGAAAATAATCAGAGAACTTGGTTTTCACCATGAGGAGCTTGAACTGCTGCATCTGTCCTGGCGTAAGCGTGCAACTGAGTACACCAAAACTGTGCTTTGTCATATTCGGGGTAATTAGCGATACTTGAGCTAGAGGCTGTAGGGTGGACACAGAGTGCGTGTTTCGGACGCGGGACTAAACAGCGAAATTGCTTGCCAGATCGGTTTCTCCAGATCAGGGAGTAGGTGGATCTGTGCCCTCCATTGCCTCGCTCCCATTTCCACCACGGGCTAACGGAGCTACAGACGCCAGAGGAGAGAAGGCAAGTCTCTAAAATGCGCTGTATTCCAGATTCAAAAGCGAGCCATGCTAAGTCCATACAGAAAGAGAATATTATCTGAGCCTATACTGATCATTTGTATGCTTGGGAGACTCTTAAAGAATAATAGTAATTATTCAGCGTTATGCATGTGTCAGGTGCTGAGCTAAATTTGAAAATTAGATGAATCTCCCTGAATTGTGGAAACTTAAAAGCAGGGAGAACTTTAGAGTAACTTGTGCTAGCCCAGTTGCAAATGGGAAAAGAGCAGCATAAAGATACTGGCTTGCAGAAGGTCATATGTATGACTCCTCAGAAGAACTAGGATTCCAGCCAAGCAGTCTGACCCCGGAACACACACTCTTAATGTTATGCTGGCCCAATCCTGAACCTTCTGAAACAGTTTCTGGGGGAGACGGGTTTTACTTTACTCACCAGTTCCATTTTATGAGACCACCCTCACGTCTTCTATATCTTCCAAGTGGAAAGCTTGGTTCAATAATTGTAGGCATACTTTCTAGGTCAGTGCTTCCTGAGTTGTGCCGTGAGTACATATCACCCTGGGGTCTCATTAAAATGCAGATTTGGATCCAGGAGTTCTGTGGTGGGGTCTAGACTCCGTACACCCACCGGGTTCCCAGGTGCGGCTACTGCAGCAAAAATGTTTCCAGGTCCAGGATTTAGATTTCTTTTCTTTCTTTTTTTTTTATATTGTTTCATACAAGCTCATTTTCTTTTTTTTCTATTTATTTATT